AATATTAATTATTTTTTTTGTATACATGTTCCATTCTTTGTATCAGATCTTTAATCAGATATATTACAACTATTAGAATTATAGATATATTCGTGGATCATCGAAGTAGCAGTTCCCGTACGATCGCAGAGATAGCAGTACGCTATGTTGGAGTACAGCTTAAGATGGACAACTGCTTGGAAGCACTATGAAATTAATTACCGAATTCAAGGATGTTTTTTTTTAATCATAATTTTGTCTTATAAAAATAATATTTATTTTAGCAATAAAACTGAATTAATTAATTTTATTTTTCTGAAATTTAAAAAACAAAAAATGTTTAAAAATAAAAGCAAATCATAAACAATTTCAGCAAAATTTCAGTAAAGTTTCAATGAAATTTCAGCGAAATTTTTTATATTCTAACAAAATGCTTTCTTGAAAGCCACCTTAGAACTTCAATCAATTAATTATTTCTAATCATTTTATAATTAGAGATAATTATTTATTATAAAAATTGTTTACTAGTAACAAGAAAGTTGTTTCTAAAAATCAATTCTATACTTGTTATGGACTATGTGAAAATTATTTATATGATATATCAATTTTACTTAAAACAAATAAATTTCTTTCCATGTAATTGCTCACAGGAAATTGCAATCCTTGCAATAAAACTTCTTGCGCCTGCGGACATGAGAGTCGCGTGTCAGGTCCTATCCAGCCTGTAACTATGTCATATACAATCACACATCCTAGAGAGTGCGCTAAAATTGAAATCTTTCCTTGCCAACCGGGATGTCGACTCGCAAACATACAGTATAAACTATTTAACTCTTTTTGTAATCCAGCTCGAACTTCAGCACCATACAGAGGACTTGTATAATACAAAATATCCATTGCTGATGTATTAAGCAAGTGACGTATGCTTAATACACTGTAAGGTGTAATTGCGTCTACTATATCTGAAAGAAGAGTTGCACATTCGGTAAAATTAAGTAAATATTAGTGCAATAAAATAGTGTTGTGTATTTTACCTCCATCTAACTTTAACGATGATCGCCATTCAACTGGAAAGAATTCTACTCTGTGTTTAGAATTTGGAAAGTATTTTTGCTTAAGCCAATCCACACAGTCTCTAAAACTATTAATTTATTAATACTTAAAAATAATATTATTTTATAAAAATATAATACCATACAAAATACAGTATCATACAAAATGTTTTATGAAAAAACTGACAAACTTCTAAAACATGTTTTGGAGACCATTCTAAACAAAAAAGATAGAAGAAAAGATGTAGAGGAATTTATCCGAAAGTAAAATTCCAAATATTAACGAAGATACAGTTCGCACCACACCGTATTTTCGTTAATTAAGAATGTCAAAAAAGATAATTATACTTCAAATATATAGAAATAAAAATAGTTATTCTCGATCATTCTCGATAATTTAGAATGAGTCCATTAAAAAATGCGCCTATTAATATGATTAGTGACTGCAGAACATTTTAGAAATTTATCAATTTGTTTACGAAACACTCAGTATGTTACAAAAAATAATTATTGTTATACCATGTGGTATTACGGATAATTTTCCCTGTATCTCGCTTTTGTCCTATTCCATGAACAACAAATACTAGATGATCAATATCACGTGGCTTGTCCTCTATATTTGTACGCGTTTTATAGCCTCTTTTTAATCGATAGCCTGTTGCTGTCCATTTAGAGTAGAAAAAAATGTATTGCAATAATACATAAAAATACGAATGGTTTCATTTTTATTATTATTTATGGTTTCATTTTTATTATTATTAATTCTGAACTTACTTTTAGCAAAACCCAACTTTGATGTAACGCTACGCATTAATTTAGTAGGTGTATATTCGCTATATAATGTCACATCATTAACCGAGTGCCAATCAACGTGAAACTCGGAAAATTGCTCAGTATGTAACACTGAAACCGCAATAAGTTTTAAAATTTATGTAAGGACATGCTACACAAGAAAATCAAGAAAATGAAAACAATTGAAAGAGTACCTTTATAAGATTGAGGAGGATTTGTATCACACGTAATGATATTTTGATTGCTGCTTTCCTTTTGGAATAATTCAAGATGTACCTTTTCTATTACTTTGGAATGTTCTGTTTCCAAGGGTATCCAACTGCCATCATAATACCATGTACCCCTCATAATTTCCCATTCTTCACCTTCAACAAGAATTTACAAAGATTACTGTATTTGTATGAACTAATAATTTGAGTGCTTTGCGCGCGCGCGCGCGCGTGTGTGTGCGTGAGATCAAAATAAATAATTTCTACATATAAACTATAAACCTGAATACTCGCTACTTAACTTTACTAAGGCGATGTTCCAAAGTAATAATCTTTTTAATTCTACTATTGATCATACTCCTAATTTTCATGAAAAATTTGAAAAATCTACACAATTTGTTAATATAAAAATTACAAAATAATATTTTTGAGGCTTCCGCAAGTATTTTTTTCAAGGAAATTACAGTTTACAAATATTATCTTTGTGTCTTAATTAATACACCGTCAAATATGCTAACATTTCGTGAACATTGCAGTTCACAATTGGCATTTAACAATGTATCAAGAATCAAGACACGATATTAGTAAAATACTACCTTAAATTACAAAATATTGCAGTTCTAAATAGTCCATTATTAATAATTTAAATAGTTTACATTTGTAATACATATTACAAAGCGAGATACATAGCGAGCCAAAAGTTTAAACCCATTAACTGAAAATATCTACAGTATAACATAAAATCAAATTTTATCTTATACTCTTTTAAATATATTATAATTTAACATATTTTTATTATTTAATTTTTTTACAAAAAAATAAAAAATAATATAAAATATTTGAAAATTCTAACAAAGTTTTTACAAAAAAAAAAAAATAACAAAACATCAGATACTTTTTTTCGTCAAAGTAATTTACATTTAATCTCACCTTTAGATATATTTAATCACTTCTTTTTTTATTTTTTTCAAAACTATCATGTGCTATCATATTATCGCAGCAAAACTTGAGCATAGTTTACCTTCATAACGTGACTGCAAAATCATGCGGCAGAAATTACGCACAATATGTTATTTATTAATGACAATTTGTTGTTATTTAATCATGAAAATAGCAAAAAATTATGTTCACTTAATAAGTTAATGTAATAAAATTTATTAATTTATATTCTTAATGATTTCAGCTAGGACTGAACACTGGTCTACACTGATGCATATTAAAATGTCATATTCCCAGTGTACTACTAATGAAAATACTGATATAAAGAAAATAAGTTTTTAATCATAGTCAAACAAATAAAATATAATTTGCAATTATTGTATCGCACGCGTACAAATAAAACAGTTAAAAATAATTTGTAACTGTTAATTGTGAAATATAATTCCGATGTGATTGCAATTTCATATTTGATAATTTATACCAAAATCATCTTTAGCTGTGTGTGTGTGTGTGTGTGTGTTGTGTTTGACTTGGAAATGTGAAAGTATCAAACTGTATTTATGGTTGACTATGATTAACTTTTGCTTATATTATCACTTCTTATCAGTGGACTGAATATGGTCTGATTAGAAGTCAAAGCATTTACCATTATAAGTATACTCACACACTATTTTTCCTCTATTTAAAGCATTTAAAATATTTCCATTGTTTTTAATAATACGATAAAATGTTAAATAGAAAAATTGTTTTGAAGGCAATGTGACAAAATTATCACATTTTTAACAATTCATCACTATTTTTTAAATAAAATTATATGATTTGTTTTACATAATAATCCCTTTAGTTATTCTGTACATGAAAAAATATTAAAGTAAAATATTTTGACATGAAATATGCAAAAAATAAAATAAAATAAAATGTAAAATGTCTCGTTAACTATTGACTTTTTAGCAATTTCATTTTAATACTTTTATTAACGGAATCATATTAAGCGAAAAATTCATAGAACTCCATTTGGAAATGATTTTGAAATCTCGTAAAATAATAAGTATGAAAAAATATGCTACTTACGATAATATTTGCTCCTATAAAACAAACAACTTTTCTATTTTATATTTTGTCACATTGTTATATTGTTATTAAAACAAGAAAAATTTTCTAAATGCTCGAATAAAAGAAAGTGTCCTATATATGCAATTTATAATATTAAATATTAGCATGATTAAGATCCATTTTGGTTCATTAAATTATTTCTTTTATTTGTAATATTTATTTAAATGTATAAAATATAATGATAATATAGCAGCTCAACTAGAATTTTTGTTTTGTTTTGATGCTACTTGTGATTAAATAAA